TGATTAATTTCCCTATGTTCGGTTGAGGGCTGAGTATTACCAATGCTATAGCCTCTTTGTGTTACATAAAGATTCCGTCTTTCCGAATAAAAACGACACGTCAATAAAACAGGAACACAAATATAAATTTTGACATTAGGGGTTGTGTCACACTTTTGGACAGTACTAAATTAATGTGAAGATGTGGGTGCATGCCGAAAAGATCAGACACAAGCACTTTAGTATCTATTGGGACTCACGAAATGGATGTAGAAGATGGAAATGTTTTCAAAATGTTATCCCTTGATTACGCGTCTGTCATTGAGATTGATTGCTAGTAACTTTTCATTCTTGATCTCCCTAGCAATTGATTGATCGAACGACCGATATTTTAGTGCAATCAGTAATCAGTATTCACAGGGGCCCCGATATTTGCCAGTCTCCTGTATTATGGAGCTAAAGTAAGGGTGAAGTTAATTTGTGCTCGGATTTCAAAACGTCCAGTCACCGGAGTACTTTACCTCTATTTAAAGTTGTAAGGTGAGCGAACAGTACTTGGTCATGTGACGCTGCGCTCTCTGAACCACCAAACAGTTTGCGCAGTTTCTGGCTCTGATATTAGGCGTAAATCTTGGTCATTTACTTGCTTTTTCGGATGCAGTTTAACACGGACATCGGATTGTTCATGGAACACCCATCTCTGATGGACGTTCGATAAAATGCGGCCAGTCTGCATAACCAGATTAGTCCTTATAGCAACGCAGTGACCGTAAGTAAGAAAGATTTACCAAGCAGGTGTGGACAAACGCCACGGTTTTTTTGTAATGTACTACTTATAAGGTTGCTGAAAATACGTTGACAGCAACCCGCCATCAGCAACCTTATGAGTAGTACATTGCAATGATATACATGTATCGCGATATCTCGAATATCGTAGTGACTGAAACATGAGGCGGTCAGGTGCAGCACATTCAGTTGCCTGAGAACCTTACAAACGAGAGATTCCGCTGGGGTCCAGGTGAGTCTCTCGAAAAACCAAATTAGTTTGCAAATGAGTGTATATTCGCCACGGTTTTTGCTTAGAATGGATAAGGACAAACGATCTTTGGAAGGCCTAATCTTTGTTAATTATAATCACGGTTTTTGAAAATTTGATTTTTGAATGGTTTGATTAAAGAGGCACAAACATGATTTATGGTACCGAGCTTGCTGCTCTGAATGCAGTTGCCTATGCGGAGCTATTTTCTAAATGGCGATTAGATCATTGCAATTACCACTATTCTCCACGCAAAATATTTGCGATTCTTTTTGGTTCTACGTTTTCACTGCAAGGCTCACAGCGTAAAAAATGAAAGAAATGGCGTTAAAACGAACATGTGGAAGGCCAGAAGATATAATCGATTCAGTCTATCTTGTCTTCAAACATCAGTGCCAATAGGAAACACGGCCACAAAGCAATTTCCAAGCGCTCACAACACTTGACCCAAAAGGATGCCACACCTGCTATGAATGAGTAGACGTTTAAAAATCACGAAACCTTGCAACCAATGACCACGAAATCTTCAAAACAAGGTATGCGGTTTCTTCACCTGTCGGCGTACCCCCTAAATAGATAATCGCCCCTTGTAGAGGTATTTGTTGACGAGCAGCGTGTTGATCAATTGAGAAAGGTAAACCGAGTTCATGTCACATTCAACTGCTGCTCGAGGCAGACATTTTCTTGATGAATAGTCAAACTTTTGACCCACTAAACAGATGAAAATATACACGTGAAAAATATTCTCAAGAGTCCTGTGGAGTAAAATTCTCCTTATTCATTATCCAACTCGTTTAACTGAAATATTGTTACTCTGTGTGCTCGTGGTTGGGCGAACAGCCAAGGATTTGCAAGTAAACGTCATGATGTTACCTTACAAGCTGATAAATTCTGTTGGGTGACATTTCCGTTATCGGAATAATCTTTCAAACCAAGCCCTTGGGTTCACCTGAATCATCTGAATCAGTGGTTGGTTGGTACTTTATTTGCAAACTTTTGTTTAATTCTTCTGTGCTACAACGATAAGTAAGACGGTCAAGATATGTTGACGATTTCTTTATTTTTCACTTACTTTTTCAAACGTCACACGCTATGGAAACCTTCTTATAGATTACGTCAGATCACTCCGTTTAAATGATGAGTTTGTTTCATTTATTATCGTAAGGTTGATAATGACAACAAAAGGTCTCAGATAGGTTGGGCCAATCTTTTTTTGATGGAGTAGAACCATATAATGTGGAAATGCCTGGCAGTTCTGCTGGCAATGTAGGTCATCCACGTGCCACTGAATTTAAGTTATCTTTGCAATGCTCAGTTTCGAGCGCGGATTCAACGTTGTGGTATTTCGAATGGGCAGCGATGTTTTTCATATTCACCTCGGGACGCAAACTGTTCCGCGTCCTGTTATACAAGATTCTTTCAAAAAGTGCCATGAAAATGCACAAAAGTGCCTACACAGTTCCAAACACGAAAATTTCTGCTACGTGTACTGAAATAAAGCCACCTTTGATGAGCCGCTTAAGAACTTGCACGCCTTAGATTTCTAGGGAACTCAGCTAACTGCGCCTACCCGATGAGCCCCAAGAACGGAAAAACCGGTCGTGGGCTGTCGAAGAATTTTCAGCAACTTTGTGAGTAGTTTGGTTCATGAAAACTCAGCTAACTGTTTGAGACTGTACTTGCTTTTGTACACTGCCGGCCACGATAATCGACGGTTGAAAATTTAGTGACAGTTTATCAGGCCTGGTTTAGCATCAGCATGTAATATCGCCTAAAGTCAGAACAAGACGGCCCTTGGCGGAGACCAAAACCAACAATGAAAGGAAGTTTAATACTTCCTGAAATCAGGAAGCACAAAATCTCTCTATGTGATATAGTGTCGAACGAAAATGACAGGACAGCGAAGAAGTGTGCCCAGTTCTCAGATAAATTCAGATTTTTTTCAATTTTCTTGCGCATCGTTTAGGTGGCTAAAATGTTTTGTCCACTTGCCTTATTTGGATGATGACGTGAGCTCCGTAGCCTCAAAGTCCCTTGTATCGATTACGAAGCGTGTCTGAAACGCTGCTCAGCATTTGTACAGGTTGCACTCCATTATGGACCGCCTGCAGTTATTCCGTGCCTACTATTGCGTTTAACAATATGCTTGCAGTAGTGGATGTGCTGCGTTTGCAAGTCTGAATTACCAAATGTATCATTTATTAGGTGAACGCGAATTCAAAGGCAGTCAACAAAACCAGGGATGTAAAGCCCACGCAAGTATTGAATATACATCGTTTCTAGGGGCACACAAGTTATGCGGACTGACTGATCAGTTTTAAAATTAGGCCTATGAAGGCATTTTCAAACTTCCACTTTCAAACTTCCCACTTTGTTAACACATGCTTCCCGTATTCAGCCTTGAATTGCGCCGTATTCATAAAGGGCATCCATTATATTTATTAGTCGTCACCAGTCGCTAATGTGCAAACGAGTGCACTTCGCTTAATAACACTGGTTGTTTCCACTAAACCAAAGGGCACTGGTGTGCCACATTCCCTCTCTGAGTTCCTGATGAAATAGGGTGTAGTCACGTCCGGCAAGTCCCTTTTAGTCCTGAGCTTTGTTTTCAATCTCATAAGAGAAAATCCACGCCTCGTAAAAGAGCTTGATTGGCTACTTAATGCTGTGTAGTTGGACAGATCACGTGGTTTGGATTAATTACTGGTAGAAACAAACCTACTAAGGTGCCGTTCTCCTGTAGCTGAACGCTTCAATCGCCATGGGTGTGAGGGCACAGAATCGCTTAGGTCGAATATGGTGCGGGTAGCCTATAAGCCAACCCTTTTCGAAATTCTCAAAGGTCGCCTACAAGATATCGATAGTGAGGAGGTCTATTCTAACCCTATCACCATCAGGAATTTACACTGATATGACCATTTTTACTCCAGAAATCACCACAAATTATTTTACCTTTAATTACCATTCCGTATAAAAGCCTCCACTAAGGTAGGAGCATTGGTGTTACTTCGAAAGAGAAAATAACTTTAATCGACAAGAAAATGACGAATTCCGTAGTATGTGTTCAATCCTGAACACTACACTAATCAAAGGTTTGCTGAAAAATCTCCGACAGCTTAATACCAGTTTTGACTTACTTACTTACCTGGAACTCAGCTGAATCTCTCTTTTGTGATGTTCTTAGGCAACTGAATGTGGTGCATCGGGCCGCCTCACGTTTTAGTTGGCATGGTATTCGAGATATCGCGATACGTTGTACACATGCAATACGCTACTCATAAACTTGCTGAAAAAATTTTCGGCAGTCCCAAAAACATCATAAACAAGAGATTCAGCTGGATTTCATTTGAGTAGCCTGTCAAAACCAAATGAGCATTCAAATAAATGCATTTGTCAAAGTCAGTTTCTCCGTTTAGACATGCACCTTATGTTGAGTCTGGGTTACCGTTTCTTACTGTTTTTCTCTCCTGTCAACACCGCAGCCAGTAGTCGGCTGCCAGGTTGGAACACTAATGCACACTAATTGTCAATCGCTAGTTTCTGTTTAACAGTGTCCTGAGGTGCAAAATCTGTGCCTATCATTGCTTTTGAATCGTACTCAACCGTTTTAGCCGACCTCTCATGGTGCATTAAGAAGGACATGTTTGAAGAGAGCCAGATAAATAAACCATTTTTAGTATCGACCCCCGCATGTCTTCTGGTTCATTCTCACCAGGAGTGCCGTTGGGAGCGCGACTTGGCCATGTCTGAGAATGTCTCTAATCAGTTATATGGCCGTAACAAAGTCCCCGCCCAGGGAGACGGCAACGAACAGCACAGCTGAGTTTGCTGGCAATGGTTTTCACACCTCGCTGCCAAATCATTATTTGACCTCCACTGGCTCGTTCCCATCTTTCGCGTGGTTCTACAGATATAACCCTTCGATGAAGTCGGGCGACTGACACCTTGTCAAGCCGGTGCAACCTATGCAATGTGATCAGCTCACCTATCGTGGGTGGTTTACTTCCTCCGAATACCATTCGACGTATTTCAGCATTGCTGATCCGGTGTTCCCGCTAGACTGGGGCAGTGTTCCGAAGACATTAATAGCCAAATACTGAAAGTTTTCAGACCGGTTTGAATCTGTAGTAGGATGGAGTATTCCGGACACACTGAGTGCTTTTATACTGATTAAGGTTCGAGGCAACTGCGAAAGAAAAATTTAACTTTCCAGACGTATCTTCCCTAAACTGTCTATGTTGTCTTTCGAACAGTTTTATGCATGTTTCGGTTCGTCAAATGCTATTTTGTCTAACTACCTGACATTAGGGATGTATATCATTCATATCTGAAAGGAAAAAAGCACCTAAGAAACGCTTTCGCGGTGCGTTACTTAGCATGTAAAATATGAGCCCATAGCTCTAATTGACGTAATTTACTAAATCAATGTGGAAAGTGTAAAACTAATTATGTACCATCTTTTATTCCTCTACAACGCCCGGTCAACACACGTTCTGCTCAACTTGATTTTCTCCGATAAAAAATCAGACCACGACTCATGAAGTTTATTATGTACAATCACAAAAGAAAACATAAGCAATATGTAGTCTTACTTTAATTCTTGGATGGCCCGAATCGCATCTTATCCTGACGACACTGTTCAAGTTCAATATATCGTAAAACCTCCTCAAATGTGCCACTACAGGGAACAACTAGATCTGACGCTCGCACCGGGGACCGATAGTACACATATTCTTCTGACTCTTCTGACTCTTCTCCAGCTTCCTCATCAAATTTCGCTGGAAAATTCCCAGGTTGAAATGAAACTAAAGCACGCCGGGGCAAGGTTACTTCCGGAATGGACTCAGGGATGTTTAAGGACGCACCAAGTGACAGTGAGCCACGGGTCTTTGTAGACCTGGGAGAGGGTGAAGCTTTGAGATCACTACCGGAGTCTTGTGAACGTAACTTCAGTAAGGAAGAGTTTGTTAGTTCCAGTTCATTTAGGTCCCGAGGTTTGTGGTCTGATTGAGAAAGCTTCGGGTTCGCCATTCTCGACTGCGGCTCCTTGGTGTTTGTGGACGAACGTGGTATAACTGACGGTAATATGGCGTTTGTCGCATCGCCTGAATTGCGCCTTCGGGAAAATGCACTTCTGTTCGCTCCATCTTTAAATGGCGTAGGTGTCCAGGAATTTCTTTTGACAAAACTTCTCGCCGTAAATGGGCCTTCTTTTTGTACAGATTCCGGTAAGACGTTTTTCTTTTTCTTACTCAAAAGCATTACTGGGCTCCGCGTTTACGATCTGTGTAAGTTGTTCAACATCATTAGTGCACGTGTTACGTAGCTGGATGGACAGCAAAAGTAGATATATTCTATTTTTACTACATCGTCTTTCAAAGGATGAAATTAGAACAGAGACTCTGTAAGACCTAGGCAGGAAATGCAGTGAACCGTTGTAAGGTTATTTTTTCTTTGAGTTGTGATTGGTGGATATAACCGGCCATAGCTGATTGCTACTGCTGTTTACTGTCGCATAGCAACCTAAGCCGATCGATCACAATAGGCGGTTGACTTAGGGTTATTTTTGACATTACACGTGCTGTACTGATGTCTCGTGTGTGTGTATTGAAAACCAGCACCATAGAATTTAGTCTCAGGCCAGATAGAAGCTAACTGGACCCTAGATAAAACATACAAAGTCCAAAAGTTTGTAACTCAACCATTTGTAGATGAATGACTCGGGAATGTCACTTACGATGAACTTACCCCTTTCTCGCCACAGTTACGGGCTTCCAAAATTGTCTTTTCTGTGGCATATTACGTTAATGCAGCAGTGTGCAACCATTGCTAGAAAGAGCCATCCAATTTTGCTCAAATCCGTCCTACATGTTGCACATAGTTGCAGTGTTATTTGTACCCTGGTAGAAAATTTTACTCTTACTTTTACCCCAAGTCTCACACTAACTACATTTCTCCCCAGTTACAGACTTGAAGAAGATGAGCAGTAGTCGGTGAAGTTGAGGTATGACCAAAAGATAGATTTGACAAACATTTCGTGTCCGCATAACTGCTATTGCCAATACGTTTGCAAATAAGACTTGAGTAAACAGCTGAAGCATAACGCTACAAGGCAGTTATTCTTCGGTCTGAAGAATACGGACATGTCAGCATCTGACCTACTCTTTCCCTGCGAACTTTGCCACAATATGGCATAAATTTGGGATACGTTGATCATTCGTGTACAAAAAATGTATAACCTTCTCTGTGGCTGAAGGCACACGTTTAATGCCCAAAAGAAAAATCCGATGGCAGCATATGCTTGTATGCAATACAAACCACGCAAATGCTTGTACGGAACAGAGCAGTGTGGTCACACTATAGGTTAATTCTTCCGTTGACGTTGTTGGTAGCCAACGTGTGCTTCATGTTGAACCTAGCCATTCCTCAAATAGAAGGCTGAAAAAGACAAAATAATTCACAGCGTTAGCTTCACTTCGTAATGAAAATGAACAAATGGATAATGCGTACCCCTGAGTATTAATTTTCAAAATTTTGTTTTCCTACTGAACCATTTGTTAATACAATAATCCGGCCTAGCTTTCAAGAGCCACTTTGAGCAGGTTTACTTCAGCCAAAACGTTATTTTATTCTTGTTAGATCCCGTAGTGCTGATCAGTAAATATTCAACGCAATTGAAGTAAAGCACATGTAACGTGGACACTACTTTGATTCACGCCGAAGAAAGTAAATGCGACTACAAAAACGTACTCCGCCCCCGGGGGGCGAAAAAACAGTTTAGCTATGGGACTCAAAAGTATTCGTTAGAGATAAGTGGTAAAACCTTGTTTATCCATAAAAAAAACGTGTTTTTCCTTGGTGATGCATTGTTGCTTAATTAAAAATTTGCGGGTCGTAGAAAAATTTAGTATGATCTAATCAGCAGGATAGGTATCGACCTGTGCTACCTGAACGTCTGGGTTCACTAAATAAAACCTACAATTCCACAAGTAGCGCATGAGCTTTTGAGGTTTTTCGCCTGCCTATTGTACGATTCAAACATTGTTCTCAAAGATGAAACAGCAAAGCAATGTTTCCCAATGTTTCAGTTATTCACTTACGATGCGACTCATTTAGCTCTAAAAAGGAATCACAAAGCTGATCAATGAAAATATCCTTCCATTGTTCGGAGATTAACGGTACCAATAAGAGGCAAACGTACCACACCAATTCACTGGTTATCAAATATTTTATCTGCCCATTATTTTGCTAGCCATTTTTCCGGTAATGGAATGATATCGGAGAAATTATTTACTTGCGATTTGAATGTAGCCGAAAAAACATAGCAACTAATCTGAATTCAGTATCTAGCTGATGAGATTTATCGGTAGTTTGCACCTCATGAGCCTCCAAGGGAACCTGGATTCATAACCTTCCGGTCGCTAGTTGAAGAACAATCAGTTTGATCATGATCGACTAATTAACCAAATGAGTGAGTAGCACGTGAGCAGGATGTAGTGTCACTGAGTCAACACCACGTGGTTTCTGGTTGATTGGTTCGCTTCCCCTAAACTGAGAGCATATAATTCGCTTGTCCAAAATATTGAGTGATAATGACGTTAAATCCCATATGGTTTAAAAATGCGCACAAAATAAAGGAAATTAATGGTAACCTATGTGTTTGTCAGGCGGAAGATACCTCTCTTTAGTTGGCCCAGTATGACAGCTATTCGATTTTCGAAAGGTTCATCTTCAAATAGAGCAGATGCACATTTCAAAGGAACATACATAAATCCACATGCATTCTATACAACATTCACTACGGTTCGACGGATATCACTTGCTTGGCCACCATTTCAAAGATTTCCATATCCACTGATGAATAATATTATGCCAATTTAAACCTGATTAATAACACATCCAGGGGTATTCTAAAAACACGATGAAGATGTTAGTCGAATTCATTGATTAAACATAACTGAAAATACTGAGAATCGTTCAATATGAACCTCAGGTTTATGAAGCAAAGCGGATTGAAGTTAGTCTGCCTAAACTCTTGGTGGAAAAACATGTGGCGCGCTTGTGCAAAACTGTATGAGATGTCAAAATTCATTGCGTGCTCAGCATAGAATGACTTTGCTCCACTGATTTCTCCGTCAAAAATGAGGCTGCAGTTTGTTTTAGCCTTCTTTTTTATTGTAACAAGACCCTTCCACTGTGGCAGCTATCGAAATGAATATTTGTTTCCCAATTAAATACATGTGGCGCGAAAACTTTGAGCTGTCAAGGGGAAAAACTACTTCAACAAGCGTCTCAATATGTTAGTTTAAAACTCCATTGAGGTGACTTGCAATAACAAACAATACGCAGTCTGTTATGGATAAGTAATAGGCGGGTTGTTTGTCGCTTAGACAATCCGATATAATTTTAATCATTGAACGAATGTACTATCCAGAAAAGATCCTCCAAGGTCAATAACCCCATAAGAAGCACCAGAAAAAAGCGGCTTCAACAGCACGCTGTATGGAATACTTATACATGCAACCAAATCGTGTGTAGTAAAACCCTTCCCCAGGAAATCAGAATGCCTGATTCCTCTCATTTTCTAGTCTGTAGTTTATAGAAACAAGTTTTAAAGTGACAGCTGTGTAAACGTCTCTAGAAATAAGCTGTTATTTGAATTATGTTGACAAGAAACTCAGCAAAAATGCTGCGCTATTTTACACTGATGTGTTGTCCCAAACCAGTCTAGTTAAACAACAGGCCCGTCTGGTGAGTGCCGGCTGTCAGCCTGTCGTTGTCTGCCATGTTGACAGCGCGTAAAATAACGTTTTATTTCAACATGAATTTTTCTTCTAACTGGAGTGTAGGTTTGAAAACGGGGTTGGTTGGGGCAGTGCAGATACACCTGGTAGAAGTAATGCGCAATGGATAGAGCATCTTAATGCAAAAAACTTTTAATTGCTTGTAAATATGCTGATCAGCTCAGTTAGAGTGAAATAAACTCATATAAGACACCGGGGGGTTAGTGACTTTATTTCGTTATACTAGTTTGTAAGAATGTTGAACATAACCTAAGTGTTATTTACGCTGGGGGCATCTGTTCTGTAGGTATGAGAGTTGGTATAAAACTAAACAGAGCGACCCCGAGTACTGTTCGTGCGCAATGCACTATTCAACATGTTTATTGCACTCTTCTTACAAGGATACGTTTTCCGTCAGATCGAAATTTTCACCAATATCCAAAGAACTGATAGTTGTAATTCAGATCTGATTATGTGCTGCTCTATTGAAAACAGCTGTTGTGACATCTAAGACAGCAACTGAGTAATACTTCTCGACTGGCTGCATGCCAAATTGAAAAAGTATATGCCGTAATGTAAAACAAAAGCGGATCACGCTGTTAGAAAACATTCTAAATGACACGTGTGATTGGTGAGTCAGTAGCCGGAACAAGGCATAACGGCCCATAAAAAGAAGGATCCCGAGGAGATTTGTAGTCACGTGTATCCTAGGTCATCTGAGGGTTTTCTGGGTCGAGAACCAGGCAAAGAAATGACGAGTGGATTTTGAATAATATGGCGCCACGGCAATTTGGAAATACGTAAGCTAAATACTTATAAGCTGACTTTTTGAAAGTTTGAGGTTCATGAATACGAAGTTTGTTAGCTTTTTTCATATAAGATCTAAGCAGAGAGCCGCAGGTCAAAACGTTAATCAACAACTTTCCGCAGTTGAGTTGTACTGACACAGTGTGCTGCAACACACAAAGGTCACGTTTTTCGAGGAAGAATGTAAAAGTTGTGATCTAGCCTGGTAATGCGGCAGAATGTGTCAATAATTTTTCAAGGGGGTTTATAATACTTGGTTAGGTGCCCCTGATTCTTTTGTAGTGAATTAAAAAATTGTCGATCCATTCTTGTTTCCAACTCCACAAGCATCTGGGGAATATCCAGGCCAGATTGCCTAACAAGCCGGTAGCCAAGTACTCTACTACCGAGTACACTTCGTATACCGTGAAGCACATTTTTAGCGGCATTTCGTGAAATTTAAAGGGAATATTGCAAAAACTGACCTTTTTCGGGAAAACGAAGAAAACAGTTTTAAAGAGATGAGAAATCCCCATATATCTCTGCTATTGAAGGTGGCTTATTTCTGTCAGGAAGGACAAAGCCAACGACAGGAACCAGTTAACACAATGAAGCACATCCAATTTTATTGGTGAACTGTCGGTAACTATCGCTCAGTATTCAGGCGGTGTGACCAGGTTTAAACTCTGCCTG